AACTTTTATCTATCACGTACTCTACAAGCTGTGTACACGGTAGACAATAGTTACCTCTCGCCTAGAGTTAGTTTTCTATCTCGAATTGTTGTCAACGATTGTTGTATGTATATATGTATTTATATCAAAGCCTCGGCGCCATCAGCGGAGCCCTAACCCTTCGTCGATTAGACAGCATTCACCTATTTTGTGACGCCATAAAATACACTTTCGCAATATGAACAAGAATTAAATTTTCAAATTGTACTTATTTGCCGAAAAAAATTTTACCTAAAAGTAGACAAATGTACCTAAAAATTAAACATGGCAACCTCTCTCTTCGGTAATATGTGTACTTTTGGACTCGCATCAAACAACCTTTAATATTTAAAATTCCCTTGAAAGGAGTACTCCGAGCAGTTCCAGTCAAACTACTATATATACATATGCATGTAGGTATTCACCAAAACAGCAGATAACTCAAGTAACGACTATTGCCAGAGTGCCAGATCACCTGCTCAATTTGTGAATACCCCTTATGTTTTAACCAATAATTCTGCCCCTTTGCAAAGGACGGAGGCTATTGGAAAAGCCATTGAAATACCAATGAAAATAAGAGGATGATTCCCGGTAAATTATTTGGCTACGTTCCAATTGCACTTAAAATTGTGTGCTTGTATCGAATATACGATTTAATGTCGTAGCCATTTCAAAATTTAAAAATCTGTAATGAAGTTCATTGTCAAGACATTACTATACGTCTCCGTAGAGCAAAAAGTCTATTTAGCTTGCTAAATAGAGCATAGAGTTGTCGTAGAGTTTTCGATCTAGCTTCGTTGGACTGTTTACACGGCGAAAAAGTCTCGCTAAATAACTCTCACATAGACTTTGTAGGTGAGTCTCTCGTAGAGCTCTATTGAGTGTTTACACGTCTCTAGCGAGATTTTTGTCTAAATCTTTCGTTTTTTCTCTACCGTGTACACTTAGCTTTAGGGTGATAAGCTTGGAATCCAGCTCTCAAGAAAAATCACAAGAAGCGGAGAGCGCGTAACGGGCTGGCGGGCACCCGCTGTAAAAATTAAAACACATTGAATGGCTTGAAATGTGTGCAAGTGCACTCAGTTTTTTTTTATTTCTAATAAAAGCTGGTCTCAAGCCTGCATATAAATATTCATTTCGCAGAGTAAATGTTTTGAAATGTATTTCTAGTAATTACGAACTGCAGTAAACAATTGTCAAAAAACTTAAAGGCTTACGAAATAAGTAACTTATTCCACATGAGTAACTAATCAGCTATTTTAATATGGCCATCTGTTAAGCAATGCCCTCCAAATAAATCCGCTTCGCTGCTTGAGTGGATATCCGTTATAATGATGAAATAATCTGATAATTCTACTACAACAACTAAGAGAAAACCATTCAAACACACATTTGATTAGCGATATGCCAAAAGCTGCAGTTGGCGGTTATAAACAAAAAGTAGGCCATTTTACATGTAGTTCATTGGTTTGGTAATTTCCTTGGATTACAACAACAAATTTTAGCAATGTACCAATTTTCATTAGAAAATACTTAGATTTCACGAGTTAAACGAACGTTGTCTACAGTATCATTTTGGTGAATGGTAATAGTAAATATTTAATTATAGTAAAAGCTCATATTTAGTAAGTTCAGTTAGGAGGCCAATCAAAAGTTACGGATTATTTTATACGAGCGACGATATGCACATATGCACTAGGGATGTTATGGGCCTTCGTTGGGCGTTGAAGGTCTCAGCTTTGGACCATTGTTGTTGATTAGAAGATTACTTGTTTTGCTGCTGATTTGCAGCAACTTTATATCTAGTACTTCGCTTTCGAATCTGGTTCCTACTCCAATTCATTTTCAGTTTCCAATGTTGATTTTCAAGTGTACCCAATTGGGACACCAACCCATTCTCAAACGGAAGGGCACATTTTTTGTATGCAAAATAATCTGAGTTTTCCATTTGAGAAAAGCTTGGGTATAAATTTGACTTTCAAACTGTGTTCAACTTTTAATCAAACCTTGGAAAGATTTTGGAAGGATAATATTTTACATCCACCTAAAAATCAAGAATTTCTTATAGAATTTTAAAAAAAGTTCGCTTTATTCATATTGGGTATAAAAGTTCTTAGGTAAATAATGATACGGTTATGAAATAAGAAAATGATAAATTATAAGTGAAAGAGCTTGATCCAATAAAAAGCTAATACATAGTTCGACAAGTGTACCATTGGAAGCTGGTACCGATACTTAGTTCTTAAGCTTTTTATTAGCCTATATATTTGTAAATGTAAAATTGATCAGCACACAAAAGAATAATTTATTTATTTTATTTTATTTCGCATTATTGGTTTCATAATAAGTTTATCTAAATTTTTAGAGTTCAATTTTATAAAAAAAAATCAACAACGAATTAAAAAAATATATACATAAGTTATATATAGTTGAATGAATAAAAAACACCGCTGGCAGTGGGGCTCGAACCCACGGCCTAGCGACTCGTTATCCGCAATATTTACTACCGTCTGTCAAGGCACAATTTTGTTTAGATCAACTGCAGAGATTACAGGTCGAAATAAGACTATCGAAAAAGCTGATAACATAGAAAGTACTATTCCATATGTATGGTATTATATAGCTAAAAGTCGGCCTTGGAGGGTTCTGCTTTTCAGTCGTTTCAATCTGAACTAACAATTTTTATGTAATGTGGAACGATTTTCCGTCATCCCTTGTCAAATTTGGTTTGGAGACAAACCGGTTTCGGCGTTGTGCCATCTTCAGTGTCATTTTTCGTTCTGAATAGTTTCTGTTTGTCTGTCACTATTTATAGCCGTGTTAAATCGTCGTTGGTTCATAGTTAGGTACGTCTCAGCGGATTATATTCTTCCGTTCAACCAGTAGTTTTTTTTATTGTTGCATGGATTCGCAGGTAGGTAAAAAACAGTTATTTTCTTTCTCTTTGTTTCAGTAGTTTGGACCTGCATTTCATTATGGTAGTTGCAGGGTTTCTGTTTCGTTTTCCGTATAGTAGTCTGAGTGGTTCGAATAATATATCAGATTCGGTGTTTATTTGCTCATTTATTATTTTTCCGACGAACGTCTTTTGTTTGTATATCTCCATATTCTCTAATACGTTTAGGCGTTGTCCTTTGTGCTGTACATGGAGAACTTTGGCTGTCTTTCCTATTTTCATTGGCGTACAATGGTTTTCTACCATATGGTTTGCGAAGTTCAATTCCGGGGTGGTATAAGGTTTTAGAATTTTTTTGTTGTAGTCCCTTATATGCTCACGATATCTTGTTTTTATCTTGCGCCCTGTTTGTCCCATGTAACTATGTTGACATTCGCAAGTCAACTTATATACACCTTGCTTGTCTAGTGCACTATTTCGTAGTATCCTCCCCACATTGTCCTTCGTTCCAAATGCTGTATTAATGTTATACTTTTGGAATACCTTAGCCAATTTATATGACGTTTTTCCCGTATAAGTCAACGTTAACACTATTTTTGCATACGCAAACGGAAATATTCTTATCAGACGCGAAGCAAGCCGGGCATTTGCTCGTTTGTAATAAAGCATTAAGATTTATACCAAAAATTGGAGGAGGAGTTCGGCCAAGTACTTAGCATAAACGTTAGCGCAAAATGTTTTTTTTTAGTACTGTTGAATATGAATTTTTCTTTTAATTGAGTCTTCGACAAATTGCTATTCACTAGTATTCAGTATATTTTTTTAATCAATATTTATTATGCAGAATTTCCACTAGGCATTGAAATAGCAAAAAATATATACCATTTAAAAAATGCCATGTGGAAACAGACACACAGGCAGGTTCTGTAATTCACTTCCAAGTGAGTTTCAATAAAATTCGTTTTAAATTCAAATTGACAGGGGTTGAAATTCACTCGGAAGTGAATTACAGAACCTACCGGATAATGACTATTTTTATGAACGCAATGGCGCGGAAATTTTTAATGCCCAGCATTGTCATTAAGAATGTTGTCATTTGTTGCCGAGTGGAAATTCACCATTAGGCGGCGAATATAAATATAAATTATTTTTCAAGTACGTAGGCGCGCTACTTGACTTATGCACAAAATAAACCACACAAATATTTGCGCAAATACCAATCAGTACAAATAGGAATCGAGTAAGAATCTTATTTGTACCAATATGTATTTGCGCAAATATTTGTGTGTTGTATTTTGCGCATTAACGAAAAGTAACGTCGCATACAGTGATATCCAGCTTACATTTAAGTACATTTGTAAGCGTATTTTTCGCGTTTGAGTATATCGTCAATGATATTGCAAAACGTTCTATGTCAATTATTACTCTTGGAACTTAGATGGTCTGTTACAGGCACCGGAATGCATATGCAAATCAGCACACTCTTATAAACTAATGACAAAACTATCTCCCTTTTACTGATGAAGATGATCGATTAACAGAACCGATCAGATACAGGTGGCAGGGCTCTTAAGCACCCAAGGTCATAATTGACATAGAAAGTTTTGCAGTATCATCGACAACATGCATGTACATATATTTGATTTACAATTGTTCTTTCCGCCTCTTTGCTGCATCCCGCCATTTTCATGATTCATGACTCTGCAAGTGTGAACTGAAATATTTAGCAATAAATATATGCTTTTTCGTGCGCATGTGAGTGTTTACGAGTATGTATATGCTGTAGGTACACGTCATGCACTGCAATTAAACTGATTTTGTTAATTTATGCTTGAGATGAGCGCGTCGAACTTCGTTAATTACAAACAAAAAAAAATATACAAAAACTTATACAATTGCATTGCAAAAACTAATATTAAGTATTAAAAAAATAATAAATATAAAAATTAGAAAAACAATAAAATAAAAGAGCGTGAACATGTAAGAAAAGGGAACACAAATTCCAAGCGCCAACTGCGAAATTCACCAAACGTTTCGTGTATAAAAGCGATGTTGCAACTGTCAGCGGCATCAGTGAATCCAACCACCAGAGTTGGACAATACACCAAAAAATAAATATATCAGCGAGTCATCAAGCCAGAACCGCTGAAAATCAAATTGCAATGCGGGCTTTCGTCATAGTGTTGTTGTTGAGCCTGATAGCATTCGCTGCGGCTGGTAATTTGGGTGGCGGCGGTGGTGGCTGGCAAGGAGGTGGTGGTAGAGGCGGCCAAGGTAGTGGTGGCGGAGGATATGGCGGTGGCGGACACAGTAGAGGCGGATATGGCGGTGGTGGACTCAGTGGAGGCGGATATAGCGGTGGCGGTAGCAGAGGACGTGGAGGCAGTGGCGGTTACGGTGGAAGCGGAGGCTTTGGCGGAAAAGGCGGCGGTGGTGGATATGGTGGTTCCGGAGGTGGAGGTAGTGGGGGCTACGGTGGAAGTGGAGGCTTTGGAGGAAAAGGTGGTGGTGGTGGTGGTAGAGGTGGTTATGGTGGCGGTCATGGTGGTGGAGCTGGTGGATACGGAGGTGGTGGCTTTGGTGGCGGCGGCGGCGGTAAAGGGTGGTAAACTCTTCTTGTGGTACACTGGCAAAATGCTTGACTAGATTTGTTTATTTGGCAAATGCTCTCTCTCACTTAACTGAACTATGTATGAACGTAAAAATGCTTGTCAAAAAAGGAAGAAAAAATGCAAAACGTAAACTACTGTAAACATTTTACTTTGGATTTTATGAGGATGCTGATTTTTATGTCTTTTATTAATTTATTCTAAGTTAAATACAAAGCATTTTAAAACGAAACATTTTCACGGCATTCGAAAAGAAGAAACTGTGTGAGGCATTCATGAAAAGGTGATGATTAACCAAACTTAAGCCGTCAACGTTTTGACAATCGTAGACGAAGCACTCGTTCATCATGCCTGCCTTTTTCTCTAAATAAAGCAGAGATTCGGTGGAATATGGCCTCATTCCTGCATATTGCACCTACACACCTCAAAGTAGATATTTTAATATTCGGTTTTTGAGAGACGGTCAGCCAAAAACAAAGTTGGACTGATGAAAATCGGTTCAGGAGTAAGTGATTTCAAAAATCGGAAAATTCCTATCAGATTTACGTTTTTTTTTTTTATCGTGCTTTTGTTCGAGTCGAAAATGAAATTAGGTTTAATGAAACGAGCAAAAAAGTCTAAGTAATTAATTATAAAAACAATAATATTTTGGCGCTTACACTTTTTTTTGCGTGTTTGGCAGTTTCTCTTCTAAAGGTGATCCACCTAAAGTTTTACGCCGCCCTTGAACTACAAAGACAGAAGTACACTCGGAGGTTTATTAAAAAAAAAACAAAAATTATGTTGCCATGACCAGGGTTCGACCCTTGGTCCTCCCGAGTGGTAGTTTGCACCTCGAACCATACTGCTATGGCGGCCAATGTAATTATTGACCGAGTTTGAACTTTTTTTTTGTTTTTGATTAATGAGACTCAAAGCAATGTGTGTACCTTAGATTTCAAAGATTTTCAACTTATGACTTGGTGAGGACTTAATAAATGCGCGTACTGAATTTGGTAGACAGTGGCAAAGCGGTTATTGAAGTACATATAAAGTTTGTATCATAACGGGCAGTGCAACGCTAATTTTTCAAAATTTTATAAGAACACAGTCTCCGATAAAATATTAACTCTTTGACATCACTGTTTAGCAATTAGGCTCCATTAAGTAATGAAACATTTTCAAAATATCGTTATATGGATATAGACGTAGCTTCAGTCACCCATTTCCACAGCAACCTTCCACAAGAAACTTACTCCGCAAGTTTCATTGAGATAAACCAAATTTCTGTAAAAAATAACATTGTTATGGAATTTTGGAAAATGGGCGTGGCACCGCCAATTTATGAATATGTACACAATTTTATCTCACAAGTCTAAAGGCGTACCATGCAACGGTAGTTTTTGGAATGGTGGAAAAACTGTATTTAATACAAGCGCCGGGTATTTAATGTTCGGCTTCAACCGAACTTAGACCTTTTTACTTCAATATTCAATAATTTAATATGCATACCTACATACATACATATTAGAGATGGGTGCGGGATATCGGGACCCGCGGGACCCACGGCACTGATTTCAAATTGGCCGGGATGGGCGGTATCAGGAAGATCTGTGTAATTTTTTGGGGGACGGGACCAAAATCCTTTCCCGACACTCCCGAAAAAACCGCAACCTCAGCAAACTCGGAAAATCTTCCTTAAAAACGATGTGTGAATTATTATGTTTTATTGGGACGAAACCGAACAGCAGAGCACAACAAAATAATCGGAATATGCCAGATCTATCTTTTTCTTGTTATTTAAAATTAATTTGAAAGACATTCGAATTTTTCTTAGTGATAGATTTCGGGACCCTGGGGACCCGCGGTACAATTCTGAAAAACGTCGGGATGGACGGGTTCGGGTCTTAAAAATTGAATTTCGCGATGGGCGGGATCGTAACTTAATATTTAGTCCCGTGCCCATCGCTAATACACATGTATATGTATCGTTACCATTAATGCAAAATGCCATACAAGATTTTTTTTTAGTGCGTCTTTTACTTATTCTGTTAGTTTTTTCTCAAATAAAATGCCATACTAAAATTCATAGCCATGAGTTAAAAATGCGACATGAATGGGGGTTTTTTTTTGTTGCGGTCTTTATAATTGACATCTAAAACTTTCAAGTGTTGTGTAAACCAGAATAAGGAAAGCTTTTACGCGTCGGTACTTTTTGGTATTTGTGATTCTTACTCAATACTTTTCAAAGGGTATCGAGTTAACAATTCTTCTCGCCACTAGAGATGCCAGTCCCAAGATCGATTCATAAATATATGAGATAAGGTTTTTCTTTATTATGATATGAGCATTCAACAGAAACTTGATAAATTATTTGCCCAACTGGTTACATTTTTTCGAAATTGTGTTCTTTTTTGTCATACTAGCCCAATAAAGCTTATGTACGCATACATTTTTGGAATTTGTATTCCATTATTATTTATTTATTTATTTTTTCGCTAATTTAATATTTCACTCCTTAATTAGCCTCTTGGAAAGAATTTCAGTATTGCCCATTGAATTTTAGTATAATGAAGTATAATTTTGAAGATTCGATTTTTGGATTATTTTTTACTTTAAAACGAATTTTTGAAATAATGCATACATCCAGAGACCCTCATATGTACGCTTAAGAATGAATGAATGGAACATTTTACATGTTTTCATAATTCGAATGTTGATGAGAGTGGTCAAAGCCCATCTATACCTTTATTGGCATGGTTGATACAATTGTATCACCAAACAAATTCACGGAAAATGTAGAAATTTGTTACAACTTTTGTAACTTCAAAAACTAGTACCTCGGAAACATATCTTGACCTTCAGAATATATGAGTCCGAAAGGAGAATTAGGTGGGTAAGAAATATGAACTCCAAAAACAAATAATCTGCGAATATTGCCCAGCAAACAGGTTAGTTATCGATTAGAGAATGATTGAAGAACTAGGCACATTCTCCAATCTCAAACGTTAGAGAACGACTCGAAAAGTGGTCTCAACTAAAATGGGAAATAGTTCTCGACTCGAGAAAATATTAATTCTCTAATCGAATTGTAATGTTGATCTCTAATGGGATTTGAATGTGAATTTCAAACTACTGTTTTGCTTTATTAAATAAAACCCTTTGCTTGTAAAATTTTTACTAACTATATTTGCAATAAAATAATAATGCATTATTTGAACTTAAAAATTATTTATGATTCAGTCATTTGGAATATTGCTTATTTACATTTATTTGAATTCGCGTTGTTTCTCTAATCGTTCTCGAATCGAAATCTAATGTAGTTCTCTAACTTCGTCATCGACTCGAGAACGATTAGAGAATTACCCTAGCTATTTAAAATAGAAATCCAAACTTTGCTAACGTTAGAGACTGTGTTTGTTGGGTTATATGAATCATTTAGTAGTCATATGTATATGATCCAAGTGCTGAGTCATGACTTTATGCCAATATAAATACAATATAAATATTAGAAAGAAATGTTTGCACCTGTGCAAACATGGCTCTATAAGAGTTCAATAAGAATCATAGAACGAAGCAAATAAGACTCAAAGAACAACCTGAAATAAGAGTCCGAAAGTAGTCATTTATGAGACCAATAAGAGTCATTCAATAGCCTCAAAAGAGACTGAAATTTGTCTTAAAAAGATCGAAATGAGCCGCATATGGGGATAATAAGAGTCCGATATGACTCATATTAAGGCTCATTTGGTGTATAAATTTAAGCTCATATAACTAAGTCGACTTTTGGGGGAAGGGAGAGTAAAGGCTCCGAAATAGGACTCCTTAATGACTCATTTATGAATATACACGTACATATGTATATTTTAAAATGCCCAGAAGCAAAATTTGAAATGGAATATGGTTTAAGTTTAAAATATACCCAATGTTACAGCTGTTCCAAGGATGTCAGTAGAAGGAAAGTCCAGAATTTTGTATGGCCGTATTCAATGCTTCTGTGCGGGTAAAAACTTATGTATGTCAATCATCATACTAAGTAAAAAAATGCATTCCAACTGAGTCATATAGTCCGTATTTGTAGTAAACAAATCTTCGAAGATTTTTTACCACCAAACCAGGTTATTTGTAATTCGTATTTATTTCCCAGCCCGCAGTCAGTCAGTTGACTTAATGAAGTTGGATGCGATTCAGACCATGGCTTTACTTAATTTCAGCGGAAAATCTTTTCTAGGTATGTGAAACTGCTAAAATATAATTAGCTTAATTAAGATCAATCGCTGAGTTAAACTGAAGTAATTTATGGCTGGTGAAAGATACCTTTAAAATTTCTACAAGAAAAATGATACTTTACTTATTTACTTTACTGGGAGCATTTGCTGTATGGGTAATTAAACACCTACAATTCCTTACCACATTATTTGCCGGGCCTGATCACTACAACGTCTACAATCAGAAGACGAGATGGAATACTTATTTGCTGCACAACATGCCCTGCGCTTTGCACTCAAAATTATAGGATCGCGTGCTTCCACACTTTAATGAAGGCCATGTATTTTTTTTAATAAATTTCGTGTAGATACGCTTTCCCTATATACGAATATTAAATCAAATTTAAATATAAATTTTTTTCAGTGCTGCCATATTTACCATAATTTTTTTCATATTTGTTTGCAAAAATTTGTACATTTTACTGGATTGGGAGGACTTCTGCTTCCATTTGATTTTCATATGAATTTCATATTATGAAACTCAGGCACTTTCACATGAAATGTGTTTATATGTCAGGGCATACAGGAGGGGGATCAATTTTTTTTTTTCTATTTAAATTGTACATTTGTATATGTTCCTATTATACAGCTGCGAGAATGCATTTGCTTTTTCGGTCGTTCTCTTTACTCTCAAAACATGTACAAGGTTTGCAAACGATATCAGCAAGAGAATGCGAATGAGCGGGAGTATAATATTTGGCGAATGGAATGCTCATTACCATTGGTGTAACGGAGTATCTCTTATTTTCTTTCCTATGCTCTCTGTTTCGCATTTTTACCTTCAAATAAACGAGTATTTGAGAGTATTACATGTCAAGCGTAGCCTTTTTTTGCTGAAGTGCTGTTAGTCAAGCGCAATAGCGGCATCGTGCTGTAGGTCTTTTGTGGGTAATAAATATTAAACTAATAATTAATAATAAAGAAATTTTTGACATTGTGGCAAATATAAATGAGGTAAGTTTTTATTAATGTATATACGTATCTACAGGTTTCATTTTATTTTAAATATCTGTACCTAAATATACTTAACAGTCAACTGATGGAGGCTCTTTTGTTAATTACAATGCCATGGTTTCATGGTTTATGGTTTTCAGCTTTTAACATTTTTTTTTGAATTTTTTTGAGTATGCAGTTTTGTAGTTCTCAATTTCAGAATAACAAAGCAGAAATTTTAAGTGGCAATGAGCTACCGTTGATATTTGAGAATTTTTTACTGACGCTCTTCGGCATTTTTTCCCATACAAAAAAACTACCAGGCACTCGTTATATGGAGAAAATGAGCAACATCATAGCCATTTAAAACTTGCACTTTATTGTACTGAAATTAAGTGAACTACAAAACTGCATACTCAAACAAAATTCTAAAAAAATTTAGTTTAAAAGCTGAAAATTTTGGTGTAAATTTGTCTAATTTTCCAAAATTTTGTAAAAACTTTGAAACATTTACTTATATGCTTTTTGATGCAGAATGAACTATTTTTCTATTAAAAAATAACGAAAAAATTTATAATGCAAAACATTGGAAACATTAACAAAAAAAAACACTGTACGGAAACATATTCTGATGGGTGTATGTATGTTTTAAGTGATCCAAATGAATTCCATGTTAAGTTTTAGTTTAAATAAATATTTTGCTTTCATTTTGTTTTAATTTAAGATATATGCACATATGTATGTATGTATGTGCATAGGTTATGTCTATTCGACATAATTTTAAAATAAAGACCATTTACTATTATTAAATTTTCAAATTTTAATGTGGACTAAATTCACTTCAACAGTCTAGTAACAGCGTCATACAAATATATATATATATGTATATTTAATTGTACATACGAGTATATTAGAGTATTCTCAAATACTCTACCTTCCGTTGCAAATGTTGAGAATATGAATATTCTATTAAGAGAGAATATTCACTCCACTCCATTCTATTACTCTTCGATAACATTCTAATTCATGTTCGCTAACATAGAATGAAAGAGAGCGGCTATTCTAATATCAAGAGAATGTTTTGAAGCTGTAAACAAATGCATTCCTGCAGCAGTTTAGTTCCTATGCTTCACGGCAAACCAAAAACAAATGCGCTATAAGTGCTTAATGGACTCACCGCCAAAGGCAACTAAACTGATTGGTCGGTATCGCGCCGATTCTAGTATTTCTTCGGCGATGAACCGTTCGTAGAGAGGCGGGCGGGGGTGAGTAAATGATGTGAAATTTCGCATTTATTTCTATTAATTTTCATTTTTTAAGCCCGCAAGGTTGTTTTTATCAACCGTCATCATGACTTCTTTCCACCTGCCTCTATATATGTAGTCGAAACACTGTGCATCGTTGGCCTGAAACCCAGAGATGTCACCGCAGCATTTAGCAGCTTAGAAGAAGAAGCTAAAAAAGGTGGTCTAGGCGTGAACGCATAAAAAGTCTTCGGGTACTGGGACACACGTCACGGTTGACAGTTATTACTTTGAATTAGGGAAGGACTTTGCCTACCTATAAGCCAGCAAAAACACCACCAATAATATCAGCATAGAGATAAAACAGAGAGTAACTCTTACCAACAGGTGCCACCTTGGGCTCGCTAAAAAGCAAAACCTTCTCTCAACGAACAAAAATTACGCTCTACAAATCTCTCATTATGTTTATATGACGGAGGAACATGGACTATGTCGAACAAACATGAGAAGTCTTTGGGGGCTTTCGAGAGAACTGTTCTACGCAAATTCTACGGCCCTGTTTGCGTGGCATACGAGAACCGAAGAAGATGGAATGACGAACTACATATATGAGCTTTTTAATGACATGGTCATAGTTAAGCGCATAAAAATACAGCGATCGCCATGCTGTACGCATAGATAACGATGCTATAGTAAAAACATCCTTCCACTCCGCACTCGTCGGTGAACAACGAAATCCAGTGCGCCGACGAACACAGTAGAAGAATCAAGTGCAGAAGGACCTGTCTGCACTTGGGATAAACAATTGGCGCAAATTTGCAAAGGAGACTTAAATATTTAAATTTACTAGTAGCCAGTAGGAGTCATTCAAATCTAAGAAACTACTAGAAGCTGATATAAGTCAAATCTGCATCTGCTCATGCCATCCACCCAAATGCAACTAGAACTTACTTCAGACTTTTAATTTGTCATTTTGTTTTAAATGCATTTATTTACAAGAATGTATGTACATGTGTATACATATGTATGTACGTAAAAAAATACAAATATGTAAATTTATATTCTTATTTTTTCTTACACTAAACTTTCCTTTCGACTTCACAGCACATGCAAATTCTTTTTACAACACAGCGTCTTGGTTTCAAAAAAATTCTCATACTTTAAGTCAGTGTTAATAATCACCACTTCCAACCGCTGCCACCACCACCACCCGACGACCATCCGCTACTGCCGCCAGAGGGCCAACCACCACCATAACTGCCGCCGCCACCACCTCCACTACTAATCTTCCAAATGCCGCCGCTGCTGCCGCCGCCACCACCGCCAAGTGACCAACCGCTACTGCCGCCACCTGATTTCCAACCGCCGCCGCCACCACCTGAATTCCATCCACCGCCGCCGCCACCACCACCTAAGCTCGATTTCCAGCCCGTGAGTGCTTGCGCCCAACCAGATCCACTACTTCTGCCGCCACCACCGCCACCATAGGACCAACCGCCACCACTTAGTCCACTTGAGCCGCCCAGACTACTTAACTTCCAGCCACCGCCCAGACCGCCGCCACCACCACTCGACCAACCGCTGCTGTAACTTGACTTGCCTGGCCAACCGCCACCACCACCGCCAGATGAGCGCCAGCCGCCACCACCCCCACCGCTACTGTAGGAGGACTTGCTGGGCCACAAGGATATGCCTCCACCGCCACCACCTCCGCTCCAACCACCACCGCCCCCGCCAGAACTCCAACTACGACTGCCTCCACCGGAACTCCAGCCACTGCTGCCGCCACCGCCACCAAGAAAGCCGGCCATTGCGGCTGCACACAAACTGAGCAACACTAAACAAATGCGCTGCATTTCCAAAAGGGATTTCGTTTGTACTGTTTACTTAAAAATATTTGTTTGTGGCTCTATTTTCGGCGATACAACTGCTGTCACTTGAAGTTCTGCTCCAACTAATCCTTCACAGCTCTAAGTTCCAAGTATTTATAAGCGCAAAAGTAAAACTGCAAAGTGATTATACCTTATTGTTGTTGTCTTTGCTTAATTTGTTGCTTTTGAATTTCAACTACAAATTCTATTCTTACCCATTGCTACAATTGAGCCGCCAAAAGCAACAAGTAGTAATAATAGCAAAAACAGATTTTTATATGGTTACAACAAGCAACAAAAACAACAAAATTGATTATTAGATACTCTTTAGTCGCGCAAATTAATGGCCACCGCCATGGGTTCAACACAAAACGCATAAACGTATAAACGGTTCTCCATGCAAACTCTCATACTGCCATTCTTACACACATACACAGCACACTCATAAATCGACAAACAATTTTACAATCAAGCGAACAGCGCTTTAATTTCAATGACTTTTGTTGCGGTTATGGATATTTCCCTAGTCATTGTCGTTGCTGCTGTTAGTTAGAGTTGGAAAATTATGGCATACAACTTGGCAGCTGCACAAAGAGCGGCGCTTTGCCACAGCTTGCACATCAACATCACCATTGCCCACCTCCAGCAAACGTTGCCAAAACTTTTAATTCATTTCTACGTACACTTGGTTTTGTTTTTACTTTACGTTAACACATCCGATAATTTTTGCACTGGCTCTCTTGGGTAGCGGCGTCATCATTATCACACCGAGTGCCGAACTGTCCTCGACATTTGGCCATAAACATTCAGCAGCTGACCAAGTTACATTAGCGCATGCGCATGTGCACAATTGACCCCTAGCCAACGTTGCAAGAAGCTCCATGTGAGGCAACACATCATCACGCCTGATTAATAGTTCAGTGAACTACATACACTATGTATGTTAAAACAATTAGAGGATTCATTAGACTTTTACGAATTTAAGACATTACATCATGTAACCTTAACAACTTAGATGGGAAGTTAAATATATAACAAAAACTCCTATGTGAACCATCAGTGGCACGGGAGATATATGTACATACCTTACATAACACCGACCTTAGTCATTTTCTTAGAAGGTCTTGTAAGGTAGATAAGTAAACGGGTATGTCACGGTTTTAGCTGCCTACATAACGGATTTATATCGCAAAACCTTATATATGAACAATCGGTAGTATGGGAGGTATATATGTGTTATAGGTCACCGTGTTGTTTGTATATTATATATGGTTTGTATATTATAAAATAAAATGCTCACGGCATTGCTTTGTCTAAATAAAGGTGGTTTAAAGTAAAATCTCATATCTGAACAATCAGTTTTATAGTATGTTATAATGAGCCGATCTTTATCATTTTCACTGTA